GTGATATATTTATGGGTGGTAGTTTGGTGTGTTAACATTCAACTAAATTGAAGGGTATTATAGTTGTATTGTGATATATTTATGGGTGGTAGTTTGGTGTGTTAACATTCAACTAAATTGAAGGGTATTATAGTTGTATTGTGATATAATTATGGGTGGTAGTTTGGTGTGTTAACATCCAACTATATTGGATGGTATTATAACTGTATTGCCCAAAATGTATGGGTGGTAGTTTGGTGTGCTTCCATTAATCTTTAATGTGCGAACTTGCTAAATATATTTATATAAAATGTTGCTCGTGTTTAGTTCATATGATATTTCTGGATGGAAAACTGAAATATATTGCCCGCTCATCTTTCTAAATAATATGTATGTGTGTGTGTGTGAATGTAACTATGTAGTGCTCCTAGAATGCTAATTATAGGTCACTGTTCCAAATAAAGACAAAAAGCATCAAGATTGTATTAGGTTGATTTTTCCATCTATATTTTTATGACAAATTAAGAAACTTTATATTAATGATTTGAAAATAACAACTGCATTGCTTGACTTACCCTATGGCCCAGTTGGCAAGAGCTGCCAAAATCAACAATTTTAATTGCACTACGTTTGGGATTACAAAGAAGAATGTTCTCTGGCTTGAGGTCACAGTGTATGACACATAGGTCAGGAGAAGATAAGAAGGCCAAAGCCATGCACATCTGTTGAGCAAATTTTCTGGTCAGGTTCAAAGAAACTCCACGGAAGTTTGTATTTCTGAGAAGGTCGTACAGATTGTAGGAAAGCAGCTCAAAAACTAGACACAGGTGGTTCCGCCACAAAAAGTGACCTTTCAGGTTAACTACAATAAACGAGAAAATAATATAGTATTGAAAGAAAATGAAAAAAACTACCGATCCAAACTCACCAGCTGAATGTGTGTACAGTTATTTAGGCATTTGAAAGTGCTTATGTTCGGTTAAATAAGCAAAATCACAATGACTGAGCTGTTTCTAAATAAAATGAAAACTCTCTCGTTCTATGGTGAGAATATATTTATATATTATTATATTTCTTCACACAAAAGTTGAATATGATATACAAAAGCTATATCATTTCAAAATCTGGAAGTATTAATGCATGTAGTTACGTGATTATCAAGAGAGCAGAAATCAAATTTCTGGAGAAATATATATATATATACACACACACACACATCCTTGTATTCCAATATATATATATATATGTATATACACATGTGTGTATAATCTCTTCAGAAAGCTCAATAATGATCTATATTCCATCTATGGTTGTTTTCACAAGTGAGTTTCGCATACGTTTTTATATACATTTGTACAAAATAGTATATATAGGTTGTATGATCTTCCCAACACCTATAGATCTATACCTAAACTTATTCTGTGCCAGCCATGTGTATTAAATAACCTTACTTTTACAAAATAACCAAAGACGATGGTTATTTTTGTAACACTAAATATATATATATATACGTATATATGTGTGTGTGTGTGCGTATTAATATTAAGGTATTCGAAGTTATTTCTGTATTTACTAGGATGGTAGTTAGATATTATGAGTCTACCTTTGTGATTCACTCATTGAAAAATGAAATTATCATCATTTTTTTGTAACGTTTATTAACATTTGTTTTTTGATTGTCTGTATTTGTGTTCATATTTATAAATTATGTGTTAAATACGTTTTGCAATACTGTATAAAACACTTGTGCGTATATACAGCATTGCGTAAGTCAGAAACGATTGAACCTGAATATTAGAACCGAAAATTGCTGTTGTTTGTTCAGTTTGCCATCAATTTTCTCTTTAATGATTTATAATATATTTTTATTAATTAGTTATTTGTTATTACTTAATCGTCTGTTGTTGTTGTTGTTTTTCTCTAAGATAACCACTTGATATTTAAAGATTGATCACTAAAAAAAAAAATACCTAAACTCTTTCGCTAATTCTAATCAAGACAGTTTTCAGTAATGTACTGTAATATTTTTTTATATTTCCAAGATCTAACTTTCAAAATACGTCTCATATTACAATAAACACATGTATGTATGAGTTAATTGCCATATTCATAATACAAATCCACAGTATATACAAAAGTCCAAAATTATGAACTTTAACAATGATTTCATAGCTATGCTTAGTCTGTACGAAAGTAAAATTTTTTATCATGACTTTAGTTTTCGATCTACAGTGACCAAAAGTTAACCAATTGTTCCTAAAAAGGTCCTTTGTTTCAAACTTGAACAAACTGAAAGGAAAAACTTTCGACGTCTACTTTTCACACAGACGGTGACACGAGGGTAATTAAAGAAAACAACTATATAGATGTACTATGTGTTAGACGTATGCTGCAGATTTAACAAATTTCTTAATACAGAATATTTAATTCCCATGTCTTAATGCTTTCAGTGTTAATTATAGGATTATGAACTTTGTTCCCAATCCCAATTCATACAAAATATAACATCTGTTTGCGAGTTTTATATAATTTTTTTACAAAGCTGTTTGTTATTCTAAAATCAGTCATTTTTACCCATATTATCACAATTTCTTCTTGATTTCCAAATCAGAACTATTAAAGACCTACTAACAATGCGAACAGGGTAAGTTCAACACCATCCTCAATAAGAGCTAATACGATAAAGAAAATTATCCTCTCAGTTAAGGATATTTACCTCTTTTGTTAAGTATTGGGTTTTACTTGGAGCAGAAGATCGTACCAGATGTTTACGTATAATTTCTAAAGTTATTTTAATATCATAAAGACATTGCCGTTACATACCGATTTTATCTTTTCCCATCGGACAGATACCCTTTTTCCCTTCGTAACTGTTCATCAGTCCTAGGAGTTTGACTTCGATGAGAGCTTGATTCAGAAAAGGCTTTTTGTTTTTGATTATTTTTATGGCAACGAAACAGTGACCTTCGGAATCATAAGCTTTTACAACCTGAAGAGAATTTGTTTTTGCAAATTAGATACACTTTAGTATAAAATAAAAACAATGTATTCTTTCGGAAAACATTGTTGTGAAAACTGTCATACAAAAAATGCTATAGAAGAAATATTAGCTTTGAAATTTTTTGAAGGCTTAGTACGATTAACGACACTCATTTTACAGGTTAACATGATTCATAAAGTTAGATAACATTTGAGTCAAATCAGATTGTATCTATTTTGAAAGTAATCTTGTAGTGATGCATTGTTATAATACTAAATGGTAAAGGGTAATTTTTCACTATAGTAACATGTACAATGTTAATTAATTGTATTAAAGAATCAATTAATCAAACACTGGGTAATTTAATGGTTTAGTCATTCCTACCATATGATAAAAAGAGCATCCATCTTATAAAAAAAATTCCACTCACAACCAAAAATAAATAATTTATCAATCATTATGATTTTAAATATAGAAAAATTAACGCATCAAAAGCACTTAAAACATACCTGACCAAAAGATCCTTTTCCAATTAATGAATCAATTTCGTACCGATCTACAAATTTTTCCCCATTCTTAACAATATAGTCATGGTTCTCGTCATCAAATCCATCGTTATAAACCATTTTTTCCTTCTTGGTACTAGCATCCTCGCCTTGACCATGTTGGGCTCTACGTTTCTTCTTTGCATAATATACCTAAAACAAAGGTTTTAGTTACTTTTTATAAAATAAGTAAAATGTATGCAACCTAATTACTAACTGCCAACTACATGAACAATACCACATGTAACAAAACACGTATTTCTGTCTCATTGTGCAGAGTTCTTTAAATATTTACTCATTTAAATGTTATATATTTTACAATAACGTTTTCGAATTGCCATGATAACAGAGCAAGTATTTTCTAAGCTTCAAATATTGTTCAAATTTACTTTTTTTGCATATCCGAATAGGCCCATATTATTAAAATGGTTTGGCAACTTTTTATCTTATTTTTCAAATATTGTTCAAATTTACCTTTTTTGCATATCCGAATAGGCCCATATTATTAAAATGGTTTGGCAACTTTTTTATCTTATTTTTCTTTTGTATGCCGTGTAATTCGTTTTCACTAATCTAACTTATAATTACGTCACAATTTTTCATTCTCTAACAAGACGACCTTTCTTTATTAAATTTCTTATATTTGAAAAAGTTTTAATGACAAAGCAAGAATTAAGTTTTTTGAGTTTACTCGTATACTTTTAGACAAGGCACACGTGTCGTTAATTAAGTAAAAAACATTATAAAAAACAAAGTTTGCTTGATGAATGAAGTGTATTTTTACCAAGTGTTGAAAAACTCGAGATGCATTTTTATTTATTATAATTTATTATTATTTCCGTTAAAGGTTCATAGACTTGCTTGGTAAAATAAAATTAATCAAGTACTTAGAACTCTATTTTAAGAATGATAATTTTTTTCTTTCAAATGTTCTATTTGTCAAAGGAAAAGGACAAGTACGTCAACTAAATTTGGCGTTGTTTCTAATAAATTTTCCGAAACACACTTTTTATTAGTGTGACATAAATAACAAGGAGTGCACTGTAATAGTGACTTCCATAATTACCACTATATTAAGAAATTAAGCGTTTTATTATGTAAAAGTAAAAATATATCAAATGTCCATATAGAAATAGTTCTATAGTCTAATTTGTTCGTCAAATATTTAAACAGGTATTTTAAAGTATTCGTCAATTACTTATTGAACCTCCTAATATAAAGTATGGACATAGGATGTTGCACGACAAGTTGACACATTTCTATTTCTATTGAAAAAAAAGCTGTTTGCAACACGTCCCGCGATCACCATAGAAGTTCGAGCAATGATAATTGAGTCATGGGATCAGATTATGAAGGATGTTTGCTGTTGATTCACGAAGAATTACATGTACGACATCAAAAGGTCTTCAGAAGGGACGGGCCTCACTTTGGGCGCGCTTTTGATGCATAAACAAATTACCATGAAACACTCTGCCAATAATCATTATAATTTTGTACGACTATATAAATAACTTATATAAAGAATGCGAATGTGTCGCCACTCCATGCAACCGAAAGTTATATTTAACGAAATAGAATTAAACAATAATAAAGAGGTTTGTTTCGAAACGAGTGGCAGAAATCTCTCTTGTCACCTTCACTTCTCATATGATTACCTATGCAATAGTTGATGTAAGTATGGAATCTTCCAACTAAGACATGTAGTCTGACCTTTCTTACCTATACAATAGGTGATGTAAGTATGGAATCTTCCAACTAAGACGTGTAGTCTGACCTTTCTTACCTATACAAAAGGTGATGTAAGCATGGAATCTTCCAACTAAGACGTGTAGTCTGACCTTTCTTACCTGTACAATAGGTGATGTAAGTATGGAATCTTCCAACTAAGACATGTAGTCTGACCTTTCTTACCTGTACAATAGGTGATGTAAGTATGGAATCTTCCAACTAAGACATGTAGTCTGACCTTTCTTACCTATACAATAGGTGATGTAAGCATGGAAAACTAAGACGTGTAGTCTCGTACCTTTCTTACCTATACAAAGGTGATGTAAGCATGGAATCTTCCAACTAAGACGTGTAGTCTGACCTTTCTTACCTATACTATAGGTGATGTAAGTCTCCCAAGGGACTTTTCTGTAAATAATCTGATCTAATTCTAATGTAACTAATGGTAGATTAAGTTGCAAATGGCCATTCTTACTGTTTATGGGTTTCAATATTTCATACAAGCATAAAAGTTTTAATACTTGTTAGCAAGAACAAAACGTGATGGACACTACTACAGTTGGTATTTTGCATGAATTAGCTAATAAATGAGGTCATTACTGATTTGACAACTGAAATTTTATACTAATTTGTGGTAGGATCCCAACTATCAAGGTATGGCTTTTGTTTTCGATAAGCTCAGTAGGAAGGGTAATAACTAATAGTGTTCAAACTACTTTTATTTTTAAATGTTAATAAAAACCGTAATACCAGTAGAGTAGAGCGTGTTCTAATAGCTGTGCATATATATTTTAACACTCGTCATATATATATATACAGCTAGAGTAGTTACTACAATGTAGAAAGTATCAGACAGTTACTTAGAGATAATCACTGACATTGGATGAGATTTCTTTGATAGCAGAAATATGATATATGTTTATGATAACTTGGTGAATAGTTTGTGTAAATTAATTTACTAAGATATGACCTTTTTTTTCTCGAAAACGTTTTCATCTTTATCATTAATAATTCCATTATAAATTGCAACAAACATAAAGGAATAATTCAAATCCGTATGAAAATAGGGTTTTACTTGGAAATATTGGTTGAATTAAACGAAGAGGATCCTATAATAAGACACATTCTTACTGAATGTTAAAAAACTGTGTAATTTTATATCATTTTACATTATTAATTAACTAATCCAAGGATTTATCGGGTAAGCTTGAAAAGCTCGAGATTCTTCAATTTAATAATATAATCACTTAATAATACTATTGACCTAGGTCACGTGTTGTACACAGTTCTTCGAGAATAGTGAGCAATCCACAGCTCAATAACAAATTAGACTTGTTTTATCGTTATATGATCTCACGGTAGGACATTAATATACCGTAAATGAACACACAACTTGAATAACAAGAAACTCATTTTCTACTTCCTGAGTAGCCAATATGGTTAGTGTTAAAGGATATTATATTTTAACCTGTAAAACACTATAAAGATCATAATATCCTGGGCCTTTGGTTCGTTTCATTCAATGATTTTTACTATGATCTTAAGTGCAATTATTATTACAGAACACAAAATTGGTTTATTTTTACGAATCACAAACAAATGTGATGTGTTTGTCGTTAAGTACAAAGCTACCCGATTTTTAGCGTTATGGGCCCTCGGACATCACGAGGCTAATATGGTGTGAATCAATGTAAATGAACTTTGTTTATTTTCCCCTTCTTTCCAATCGCTTATTTTATTTGTCTTCAGCATATAACTAACGTTGTTTCAGTTGCCAAACACAAAATAAAACATTCATACGTTACATTAAACTTGCAACTGTGTAATAGCAGGTGTACTGGTATTTTCTGAGGCTATTAATAACAAAAAAATAATTCCAATTACTAACACGAAATATGAGTACTGAAATAAACATTTAGAACGAACAAAACATTACTTTCGTAGTCTCCAAGGTGTCCTAAGAACACCTTTCACGTGTTTCCCATATAATTCATTATCTGGCGAGGAAACACGCCAGAACTACGTCTTTAAATTACTTACGTTTTTTTTGTTTTTTTTTAAATAACCATTGACTCTTCAAATTAGTTGTTACATTTTTGATGACCATAGAGCAAAATGAAATATCATTCTCAAATAAAATGTCATATACATCTAGATATGTCCAAAAACAAAATCATACTTCATTGATATGTTTATATGTCTTTATAAGGTCAACACTGAGTTTATGTAGGGGAGTGGCGCTGGGATCACGACTTTTATTTGGAATTTCAGAAAGCAGCGGTGTTACATGCTCTTCTGTGGGAGCTTCAGTGCCTGTTCCCATCGCCACTAGTTGATCTTGGGTGACTAGTCGACCATACATGGAGGTTACTGCTTGTGACGCTTCTCCTTCAAAAGACACAAAAATAAACTAATTGAGGAAACAAAAACATGGTTTTTTTGTGAGATATTAAATGGTTTTTATTTCAACTTATACTTAATTATATTTAGATTCACATTACACAAACAAAAGGTTAGATTTCACCATGAACGTATTAGCAAATAAACTTATTACTTAAAATTAATATATCTTAAAAATCTACCAGTCATAAGTTAATACAATTTCATCAGAGACACACTGAGAACCACAACTGTTATTCAGGAACGTTATATAATGGTTCAGCACCTTCGAAAACGTTCAATATGCTTTCCGTCATCCTCAATCAGAATATCAAGCCTATCCCTAAATAAAGAGCTATTGCAAGCACCATCTGTCCCGGAAAGTGTTCATTGATTTGCAATATCCTGCACACTGACACACGTTTTATTTAAATCAGCAATATCATATTGTAGAAAAATGGAGAAATGAAAGCAAAATCAGTTTACGAGAAAAGAAATTTCATTACAATACAGTTTTGAAACAGTGTGTGCTATTGCAGCTCCCTCCGATGAAATTTGGACTCCCAAAGCAAGTGACGTTTAAGATATAGTCATATGATAAATGGGATTTTGTTTAAAATGACACTATTCTGAACGTTCAGGAAACGAAATAATTATCTTTCTGATGAAATCAACAATTATCAACATTCAACATCTGTATTTTTCTCTGATGTTTTAGTTTTCATTAAATAGTTTGTAAAAATACCTTACTTACGATTCTTAATAATAGGCCTAGATTTTGTATCTATTATAAAGCATCAATTTTAAAAGCGCAGAGAATGTGAGATTTCGACTATACAATATTTCCTCTAGACGAGTATTTTACGATTTCATCCGACATTATGATATAATCATACAATTCAATTCTAAAGGGTATACTCTAAACCATGGTAAGCGTAATCCATATCATGTTAGCTTACCGGGAAGCATTTCATTTGTGTGAATGAAAGAGAATTTTGCTTTGCCATATAATATTCTGTTCGCTTTCATAAAAGAAACTAAATCATGCGCAGATAACTTGTTTGTATAACAATTTATTTAAACGATACAACTGACTTTCACTTACTCATTATTCAAATTAACTAATACGTTTATAAACCAAGCTCTGATATTCATGAATCCTTACAATATTCTCCTTTCTTGTTAGTTTTGTTAACTTTTTTATTGTTGTTTTTTTTCTGAAGATAAAAAAGTAAACTAAACCAGATATCCATAGAAGTTGTATTTTAATCTTTCACTAATCTTTTATTCTTGTATCTGATCAAGTCTTGAAGAAGAATGAGTGTTCCAGATATAATGTTGCATTCATATACATAATATTTCCCTGACTTTTGTTGAGCTAACCATAATTTATAGAGATTATTCCACTTAGAAGCTAGTAGTGCTAACGACCCCCTCGTAACAAATTAATTACTATTAATGCATGTGGCATGTCAACACACGTTGACGGCTTATGTATGTGACATCCATATGCAAAAACCTCAGAGAGTTTAAATGTACCAGATACTATCTCTGGTGTATTCTAACTGTTACATATACATTTTTGAGGGCGCATTAATCAGTTTTAATATAGATACCTTCCCATTTATACCAGGCGTATCAAGGTGATGAATTTCACGAATTTTTGATGATTATTAAACAAATAAACTGAATTAAAATGTTATCAATTTCTATATCACACTAACTCGTTTTATAGGTTTAATTTTATTTCATCTACATTATTAGTTTTATATGGCATATCAAAGTTTCAGGGCGTTTCGATTAGCCACTTGAAAAATATCTAATTAAACTTATCGTAATAAAATAGGTTTTCTTCTTTCTGTTTAGTAAAGTGTTTAGTTTCAGCGTTAGAGTTTTCTCGTTGGAAATTATACATTTCTAGGAAAATTTCAAATAGTTCTAATTATTCAGTAAAGTGATAATTTAGCTCATTAGATCATACTCTTTGGTTCCAATAGACCAACATGATAACTACAGGGAATTAATACTATTTGTATGGGTAGTTCTATTTTTATAAATTGTTGAATTACTATTCTCAGAATTCTGCCTTTAGCATATATGACTTCCTCCAGCAAAGCAAGTAAACAAACTTTAACACAAATATGAGGCTATTGAAACCAGATATACAATTGTTTGCCTTATCCTGGATCCTTCCTATAAAAAAGGCCCGGCATGGCCAGCTAGTTAAGGAACTCGACTCGCAATCTGAGGGTCGCGGGTTCGAATCCCCCATCACACCAAACATGCTCGCTCTTTCAGCCGTGGGAGCGTTATAATGTGACGATCAATCTCACAATTCGTTGGTAAAAGAGTAGCCCAAGAGTTGGCGATGATGACTAGCTGTCTTCCCTCTAGTCTTACACTGCTAAATTAGGAACGGCTAGCGCAGATAGCCCTCGTGTAGCTTTGCGCGAAATTAAAAAAACAAACAAAACAATCCTATAAAAAATAAAATAAAATTTGTACATAATAATGCACAAAAATTTAAGGAATTAACAAAACTTTGAAAACCGACAAGTTTCGACAGGCCAAGCTTGTTTTTTTTTTTTTTTTGAAAACCGACAAGTTTCGACAGGCCAAGCTTGTTTTTTTTTTCATATTATTCCAATTATCATTTTACCACATTTCTGCATGCTTACCACCACTGTCTAGCTGAAAAATGCCCAACAGACCTTGTTCCTGATGGAATGGAATGATAGATAATAATCTGCTTGTACCTGAGAGCAGTGACAGTGGTATAAGTTTTGTGAAGATCTCCAACATCATTGGCTGAGTTGTAGTTCGCACGTCACTGTAGATGTTCTACAGTGACTTTGATACAGTTTCCTATCTGTCTAGAAGAAACAGGTTGTTTTCAAACAGTTTGAATTTATATTCAATCCATTATTTGAAATCTAATGCCATTTCACCTTTTTGGTTTTGTTATTACTCCTAACCAGACGTTTTTGAGCGGATAAACATCGATAAATTCACGTTGTTGTAAAGTGTATCTTACTATTCACGAGGCCCCCCAGTGGCACAGTGGTATGTCTGCGGACTTACAACGCTAGAAACCGGGTTTCGATACCCGTGGTGGGCAGAGCACAGATAGTCCTTGTGTAGCTTTGTACATAGTTAAAAACAATGGACAATGTAGCATTTTGGTAACTTCCTCTTCATGACCCACAACATGAAGGATGTGTCGTTATTTATTAGAATTCAAGTCAGAGTAGTTTCAGTGTAATGAAAGAACACTTAGGTAGTAGTGGCCATGACCATTAGTGTAACCGATTGTTGGTTATCTTAGATATTTGCTGTTCTATTGCTTTGAGTGCTTCTTTTCTGGAAAACATGTAACTTTTTTCGCTCCAGATCTGTTGATACAATGTAGTCTGGCTTTGTTTGATGAGATTTAAAGCAGTAGCACAGCACTGACTAAGGTCAACGTTTTTCATCTTCTGTCTCCAATCTTTATTACATCAGCTAACTAAACTCCGCCAATATTACATTAACTCTCTTTATTCAGTTAACATTAACTTCAATTTGTTTAATATTTATTTTCTATCCGTTGATGTTCACTGTATCTTCAATGTGCTGTCCAGTGTTGATCTGCTTCATCTTCAATGTTCAGGTTTTCATCGACAACGGATGTGTTGTTCTTTAAGACTCATAACGTAGGTAAATTAATATGTAGAATTATACACAGACTTTTCTCTACGTTAAAATACTTTTATCTGCGAGCTTTCGGCCCTCTTACCGGAGCCTTCATCGGGCAACAATGTACCCTAAAGCATATAATTAAAAATGTTACATATGTAATTCAAACAAAACACAATCTTACATATGAAACTCAAACACAGCTCATATTACTAAAGCCGTATTGTGGTATTTTGAAGTAGAAAAAGAACTAGCTTACAGTATTACTCCAATTATCATCTATCTAATGAGACTGTTTAGTACATGGGCTACTCTAATGCACAGGGACGCAATAATGACTTTTAGTCTACAGATTCTATTAAATCTTTAGATTAGGTTCTCATACCTATCTCTTCTTGAATCAATGTAGTTTCTAGAATGTTTTTATTTTCTTAACAGATAGACAGTGTTACAATAAACAGTATTCGTATGCTGTAACATTTCTTTAATGATGTTCTCTTTTCTCTTGGTGATCATTGCCAATAAGGGTTAGCATTAATTTTTGTAAACCTTCAATACCTTACGAGTCTACGAGGAGTCATAATCTTAGCCTTTTGCTTTCTTCGCTAGGTAAAGGCTCTCTTCCCACATGTCCACTAGAAGAACATATTAAGCACGCTTACTCTTTAGCTAGCCAAGGGAATACTACTTTAACGGATTCAACAAACCGCTGCGTATCATCGTTAAAGATCCGCAAGGAAGTTACATAGCAAATTGAATTATTTAAATTGAGCCAAACACAGTTGAATAATAGTTCAAAACTGAGCCGCTAATGTTATCCTTTTGAACAAAATTACTCATTCTCCTATTTAGATCTCACTTTTGATCAGATAACTTTATGTTTATTTCCTAACTTACATGCTAGCTCAAGTATGCTTCCTTTGACCAGCATCTCCAAAATAAAATTTTTACTGTTTATTACATTACAGTGTTAGATTTATTTAATAATTCTTATTTGTTATCAAAATAATTCTGTCTGTGTTCAACTGGCTATAATCAAGAAATTATGTTGTAATATGATTATCTGATAATGTTCTAACTTTTTTATCTTTATAATGAAATACTTACCATATTCGTTAAGTTCTTCTTCAAAGCATTATCAGTTTGGTTTAGTCTTCTATAGGTTACTTATATGCATATATTTATTTACGAATGTATCTTTACGTTTGTGAATACGTTAATATTTTATAAAATATCTCAGCTGTGAGGTTTAGACAATTTTATCTTAACTTGATAACTAGACTTCCAAACGTTTATAACAACTATATAATTTCATGTGGTAATTATTTCTATTC